GGTGACCTCATATTGGGGTCCATATCGAGAGGGCAAAGCTTAATAAATTGTAGGTATATATTCCCTATTCAATAATGGTCATCATTAGGGATAAACAACAGGGGCCATTAATTTGTATACCAATACAATTTCAACTTTTATACTTACATTATATTATTATTCCTACAAAAATAAATCAATTTTCATTTTCATTTTTCGTTCTTTTAAAATTCAAAAATATTGTCTTTAATCCTTATAAGAAAAAAAGTTTTCATGCTTTACATGAATTTCATTTAATTTAGAAATCTTTAAATTTTTTAGAGTATGGATATTATTATATACAAATGTTTCGTGAAACATTTTGTTTAATGCATGTATTATATAATATTATGGTAAAAAAGTTTTAATTTTAGAAAAGTGAAATGGAATTTTCTTTTTAAAAACTAAAGTAACATTCGCGACTAAATATTTTCAATTGTCATTTTTTAAATATATTTATTATATCTTTTTTATTAGGTATATTTCTTTGAATTTCTTCTTGCAAAATAACAAATAATAAGTCGTTGTGAGTAATTTTAGATGAAGATATATTACCAAAATATTATGGATATTATTTCAAGTAATAATACATTTTCAGTAAATCATTATTTTTTTATATAGCAAACCTAGTTTCTTGAAAAATAAAATCTTCTTTATAATATTTTAAATAATAGGTCTCATTCCGAAAGCATATAAGACTTTTTTTTAATATTTGTTAAGGATAAAATCTTATTTTAAGTTTTTAAGTAATATTTATAAAATTATAATATAATTATTATTATTATTTAGCGAAAATTTTATACAAATAATATATTTTTAAAGGAAACTACATAAATAAACTTTCATAGATTTATTTATTTAATTATAAATATTTATTGTTTATGCATGAAATTCAATTCTCCAGAATGATTTTTTTTTTATGATTTTTAATGACAGAATACACAAATTTTAACCAGGTATTTTATTTTATTTTTTTACATTTATTTTTCAAATTTCTATCAATTAATATTAATTTATTTCAAAGAGAAATGATTTTTTTTTATGATTTTTTATAACTAACACATAAAAAAGCAAAAAAAAAAAAAAGATTTTGAAATTTTGTTACGTTTGTTAGAAAAAAAAATCTCAAAAATTTACCCATTAATATTCATTTATTGGAAATAGAGAAACCATTTTTTATAATTTTTTATAACTGATATGTGAAAATGCAAAAACTAATTCCAGGTTTTTGAATTTTAGTTACATTTACTAGAAAAAAAACCCTCAAAAGTTCCACCAATTAATATTCATTTATTATAAAGAATAAACTTTTTCTTTATGATTTTTGACAACTGGCACTTAAAAAACAAAAACTAATTTCAATCATGTTTTTGAATTTTAGTTGTATTTGTTAAGAATAAGTCTCAAAAGTTTCACTAATTAATATTCATTTATTCTAAAAAAAATTATATTTATATTTATAATTTTTTACAACTGATGCGTAAAAAAACAAAACGAATTTCAATTCCTTTTTTTATTTTTGTTACGTTTGTTAGGAGAAAGTTTCAAAAGTTTACGATTTTTGACAACTGATACATGTGAAAAAACAAGAACGAATTATAACCAAGTTTTGAATTTGTAATAAGTTTTAGAAAAAATCTCAAAGTTCTACCAATTAATTTCATTTATTCAAAAGAGGAATATTTTTCTTTGTGATATTTGACAGTTATTTTTGTAATGTTTGTAGAAAAAAAAGTTTTAAAAGTTCCACCAATTAATATTATTTTATTTAAAAAATATGATTTTTGACAACTAAAAAAACAAAAACAAATTTCAACTAGGATTTTGAATTTTTGTTCCTTTTGTTAGAAAAAAAGTCTCAAGTTTTAGTAATTAATATTCATTTATTTTTAAGTGAAAATTTCCCCTAGTCTCTTTCTCAACGTTTTTTTTTCTTTTCTCTTTTCTTTTACTACCAGAAGTTTATTCTGATATGTGTAAATGACTCTTAATTTGAATTTTATTAGTTTTGATTTTGTATTTTTCATCGAATTGGGTTTCATTCATGGTTTTTAAAGATTTTTCATTATAAAGAAAATTTGAAAAGATGTAAAATCGATAAAATCCAGTTGATATTAGAAATATTAAACTTGAGATATATTTTGCGATCTGAATATAATTTATAATTTGAATTTGAAGGATGGAAATCTATATTTTAATTATTTGTAAGATTAGCTACTTTTGTTTTTTATTTTTATTTTTATTTTTATCTCTGAACATTTTCAAATTATGGGTTTAAGACGCAATAATCTTTTTAGAGCGAAAAGAAAATATGGAAATAAATAAAAACATATTTAAGGTTTCTTTTATTATTAATAAAGAGGGAATAAGAAGAAGAAAGAGGAAAAAATTGAGACATCCCCACCCTCTTCTCTCTCTCATAAACGAACATAGGAAGGATGTTAAATGCATGTTGTTGGTGCTGACAAGAACAAGAGTAATGCATAGTTGCAGGTGACATGAGAAAATCATAAAAGCTACCTAGCCCCACCCAAAACCAGAACCAAAACCAAAACCAAAACCATGTCTCTGACTCGTCACAAAACCCCGTTCTTCTAAACCCGAACCCCTCTGTTGAAAATATGAATGAAGTCTACAAAAGACAAACAACATTAATTGAGACGTGGATGCTGTTCTATGTGGCGACAAAAGAGGGATGAAACTCAGAAACTTAGTGGGATACTCTTTTATCCTCATCAACCTCGTGATTTTACTCCTTTCGCACTTCACTCTGCTCACACCTCCCTCACCCATATTCTTCTGTACCTCATCAGATATCAAACAACGTAGCAAATAACTGTGTGTGTGTGTCTGTGTGCTCACATATACACGCGGTGGCTGCAAGTAAAATAGTATGCTAAATCAAGAAAGAGAGGGGGAAAATGGGAAAAAGAAAGAAATGGGATCTTAATTTTATTACTATTTAAAAAAAAAAAATCTTTTTGACTTTTAAGAAATCGAAATGGTTAAAGTGGGCACCGGACATAATAAAGAAAAAACAAAAGAAAGTGATAAATAAAGTGCCCTATACGAAATTACGTGGTTCTACAAAAGGCCAGAAAGCGAAAGTTCCCCTCGAATGCAAAAGTGTGAATATTTCTTCTTCGTGGAGGGGAGGGGGGAAATTATCGCAGGAAAAGAAACAGACAAAAAAGTAATGCAAAGAAATGTTTTCAGTACATTATCATGAGTAGATGAATCATGAATTTAGTGGATATGGGTCCAAAGTTCCAAATTAAAATTCAGAAATGTGGTTTTGTTCGGAAGTGGCTAGTGGGTCTATGCTATATAATAACAAATAAACCATTAAACTATGGGTGGGTTATGATAATACAAATGAATATTGCAAATTAATTTATGCAATGTAAGGAACGGTTGGCTAAACGTCGTTTTCAAGCTTAGGTGGGGGTTACCAAAATAAAATATCAGCAGCAATCACAAGGATCCGTTTTCTTTTCCTTCATGGTAGCACCCTCTATGTCCTCCCTTCATTTTCTCTAGATACTTTCTTCACAAGAGAACATTTTTTATATGGTCAACTAATTACACATTATTGTTAAGTAAGATTTTCAAAATATTTATCATCCATTCCATTACATATATAACCTTATCATCTAGATTGGATGATGGTATACTAGTGTATACACTTCCAATAAGCAAATTAAAAAAAAAATCATGTAAAATATAGAGTAAATGGAACAGAGGTTATTAGGAGAGAGAGGGTGAAGGCACAGCAAAGGGAATTGAAGTTGATGAACAGTGTAGAAAGGGGAATAACCTAGCTACCTCAGCAAAAGAAAAGGAAAGACAGAAAAAAAAAAAAAAAAGCCGTAGTGGTGAAACTAAAGAACAGAATCTAAGAGCAGAAAATCTTAGATGAAGTTGCAAAGGAGGAGCACCTGAACAGAAGAGAAAGAAAAGCTGTAAATGATAAGTGCACGTGTGCATCATTGTAGATAGATTGAGCCCCAACAGATCTGATGCAACCCCGGGGACCAGATGAACAGTGTTGCTGGGAACTAGTCTTTATATATAAAAGAAAGATTAGACCTTATTTGACTCCATGCGTGTTCTTGTTGCCCTTGTTGCAAACACCAGATCCAAAACAAGACAAGGATTAAAGATAAAAAACAATCATCAAATTTTGTTTTGTTTTTTTTTTTTCAATTCATTTATGTAACAAACTAAAATCATTTTAAATATAATGAAAGGGTAAATTCAATTCCTTGATTTTCCTTCCATGAATTGCACTGTTCTGCACAATCAGTTAGTTGTGTTATGCATGATTCTTCTTTTCCCATCTCCCTAACTTTCACCAAATTGTTTTCCAACTGCACCTCTACTCACCCATTGGAGCTTCGCCAGGTCAAGACAGAAACGAAATGTCATAATGAAATTGAAAGCAAAGCTGCGATGTGTCATCGTGTTCTCGCTAATGTAATGGCATCATAGAAATATATAGTGAGAAAAAAAATAATTATAATGTAAAAAAAAAATCAATAAAAAGGGATATGATTTCTCCCTCACACTCTCAACAGTAAACTCATCATAAGAAATAAAAACAAGGAATGAATTTAACATGAAAGTGGTCTTGGATTCTTGTGTGTTCAGCAAAACAAGGTGTTAATTTTAATCTATGCCTCCACCAGTTCATTGAGCTACCTCATTTCACGAAACATCCCAAGACAAACAGCAAACATTTCACGTTGTAGGAGGAGAGAAACCTAGTATTGAAATACAAACACCACTTAAAGCAACGAAATCAGATAGTTACACTATTAATCCATGTATTCCCATGATAGGGGTTCAATTTTTATACTAACCTCAGATAAATCAGCAAAAACAAATAACTACATATATGCAAGCCGTAACCACAATTAATTTCCTTAAAAATAAAGATAGATAATATGAGTATAAATAGGGAAAAAATGATCAAAATTATACTATACGGAAGTAGAAGTAGTAGCAGTAGAAACATTAGGAGTAGCAGTAGTAGCATCAGAAGGTACACTAACGCCAGCTACGTTTGTAGGGTTAATAGAACTACTACTGGTTACAGTAGAAACGGTGGCGGCAGTGATAGTGGTGGTGGTTCTCTTGCGCTTCTTCTTCTCGTAGGGAATTCCTCGGGCTTTGGCCTGGGCTTCTCTTACCTCTCTGAGATAAATTCTGACAGCCCGAGTGGCGAATGGATTGGACTCAGGACGACCTCCGTTTTCTTCAAAAGCAGCCCTGAGTCGTCCAATTAGGGCGTCCAGGCTTCCCCAGGCCTGCTTAAGAGGGCAGGCGCAAGGGGCTGGAGGGTTGGGGTGTCCGAAATAAGGGCACCCGGAAATATGCACCTTGGTCTTCCCGAACTGGTCTAGGTACTTGAGAAACTCGATCACGTGCGCGCCACTGCACCGCGCCAAGGTCAATGGCGGCTTGTGGTTCCGCAGGTACTGCAAGAACGTGTTCCAGTCCCGCCGCTTCTGCGACTCGTAGCGGCTGGGCGCCGCCTGAGCTGCTGATCCCTCCCCCTGCACGGCCGCAGCTGATCCGTCCGCCGGAGCGTCGGACGCGGTGGGCGTTGCCGCTGCACCTGATACAGCAGCGTCCATGACGATGACGACTAACAATAAGAAAAAAGCAGGCAGGGTGTTGGATTGGGGAAATGGGTGGTTTTATGTAGTGAGTGTTTTTGTTTGAGAGAGGAAGAATCTGATGGTTGTGTTGGGAAAGAGAAGAGAAGAGCGAGGAGAAGAGAGGAGGGTTAAATATATTTGTTTATGTGGTGCGTTGTGTTATTGAGGGTTAAGACAGAGAAAAAGATGAGAAAGAAAGATTGGGTGATGGGACGTAAAAAAGGCTAGTTGAATGAATGAGAGGGAGAAGGTGTTGAGTGGGGGCGAGTGCCGAGTGCCGAGTGCCGAGTGCCGAGTGCCGAGCGTTTTGCAGTGTTCACAATTTCACATGGTGGCCCCTCTTCTCTCTTGACATGACTACTTTACTATTCACCACGTTCCCCTCCTCTCTTTCTCGTTTTTCTTTGAATGAGAATGGAATAATAACTATACGTCACATTTCCCAATTCTGTAGCGTTAAATAATCTCTGTGTCTAGTTCTTGCAAGTTGCAAGAGTTGGGGTGTGGTGCAGACGTGCACATCCCGCGCGTGGGTGTGGACGCCACCAGCAATAAATGGAGTCTTGAGATAGTCAAATATTTCATGGGCATGTCCCTCCTCCTTCTATCAATCTGGGAATGGTATAGCATCTACGTCTTCGTTTTTCATTTCTAAACTCTATTTATATATAGAATTTAAATAAACAAATCAAATAAAATATATTAGTGGTTGTTATTTTAGTCCGTGACTTCTCCCTTCTTCCTTTTCTTTCGTAATTTCTCTTCTCCATATATGGTCTCCTACTGTACTCGGAACGCCACTCTTCAATCATGCCCTTTATTTGTTTTTTATTTTACTTTTTATTTAACTAATTCAAAGCAGGAAATAAAAGTATATATATATACTAATCCCAGAAATGAGAGAGAGGGAAGATTCTTTTGCATTTTGTGGAGACAATAGGAAAAAATAGTGATTATTTTTTTCCCATTGTTTTAGAAACTTAACTTACTACCACTATAAGATAGGCTTTCCATTGCTATGTAAATGAATTCAGCTAGTAAGACAAAGTAACAAGCATTCTAATTTTTACTGCTTTCAAGGATGATATTGTTGGGTGAAATCACTCATTTTTACTCATTCTCTAACATTATTTCAGTTTAAATGGACAATATATTTTTAAAACGTCACGTGTATCTTTCTATAGGGGATAATTTTAATCGAGTTGGATACAAATAGAATCACTTTATAATAATAATAATATTTTATTTATTTAATGTATTCATATATCGAATTTCAAAATTGTTAATTAAACAGAAACGATTCAGGTTAGTTAACTCATATGTTCCCTTGTTATTAAATGTATATTTTTGTTGTGATCAAGTAAATAATAACTATGTTGGATTTGTTTATTTTAATTTTATCTGTCACATTCGTTAATCAGTGTAGCATATAGGTTATAAGTCCATTTATTCCAATTTAATGTATGACGTCAAATCGAGTAGTTTGTGTATATGATTAGAATTAAGAACGATAATGGAAGGTTAATTATTTTTCCATTTGTAAGTATAAATGCCAACATACACAAATTCTAACTAAATTAAATCAACAATGGTTAGCTTTTGCGCTAACCTCACTTCTACACCGTTAATAATTCTGTGGTGTACAGGTGAAATGCGTGAGAATAACTTTTTCAATGATGAATAAATACATTGATAATTTTATTACTCTTTTAAATATGTTTAAGATTTTTTAGTTATTATTATTATTATATGAGAGGGTGAGAGGATTTTAAAGGAAACTAAAAATGAAAGTTTTATTTTTTTAGTTAAAATTTTTAAATTAAAAAAATATATAAAATAAAACATTTTGTCTATTTTTTTATGGAAATTTGAAGGGTTATGTATTTTTATTTTCTTCATGCTTTTAGAGTATGATTTAACTTCAAGCAAACCTAGATGATTAGGAGATAACTTTGTTTGGGGTAAAAAAAAATTCTTCTCGAATTTGAAGTATTTTTTTGAATTGTACATTATGTTAGAAATTTGAATGGATAATGTTGAATTGTATGTAATAAGCCTAACTTTGAAAAATGATTTGAATTGCATGGGTGTGAATTTGTAAAAGTTTAAATGATTGGTGCAATTTAGGAGTATGATGTATACTTTGAAAATACAGTCCAAGATTATGAGTTGATGATATTATGGACAAGTTGAAAGTAAGAATTTATAAGAGTTATTGTTTTGAGTTGGGGTTTTACTAATTAAACGACGAGAGATTAACATACATACATACATTAATAAAAAATTCCGCTGTGATGGCTTTGAATATTATTTAAACATAAATTTTACAATAGTTATTATATAGATTAATAATGTGATCAGATGTTAATGTACAATTAAGTGAGTGGAAAGAAACGATTCCATAAATAAAATTGAATTGAAAACCGTTGGGGGAAGGTCCCTATGACCTAGAAAATAACATTTTGCGGGGTACTAAATCGGGTAGGTAGCCCTTGCTTGGGAATTAATGTTCCCTGCAAGGCCAATAGTGATTGACACACAGGGCACTCATCATCCTGTACTGCAGAAAATTGGAAATGACGCAACCCTAAAGAAACACAAATTCCCATCTTATAATAAATAATACTATAATGTAATATTTTCCAATTATGGGAACCCTAACTCAACTATATATTCAACATTCTCTCGTCAACGTCTCAGCCATGAATTTTCTAGTGTGCCAATTGTGGGAACCCTAGACACTAATCCAACATAACTCACTTAAAAACTACATTTAATTGCATTTCTTCATCTTTACTATTCATTTTCTCTTCTTAACTACTTTCTTTATCTTTATAATTTACTCTTAATTAGACACAAATAAAATTGAGGAGACGCAATAATGCAACTTTATGCTATATATTATAGTTTTGTTATAATTACTAATACATTAAATTTAGGTTGGCGTATATATTTATTTAATAGTTTTTGTCACATATATTTTCTTTTAAAACAATCATATCTAATGCATGTTTTCCCACCAAAATTAAACACTCATATAATTAAGATTTAAACTTTGATTTATTATATGATAAGAAATTATATTCTTCTGGTAAACTTACAAGTTAGTTATTGAGACAATACTTCCAATTCTACAATAAAAAAGGTGTATTCACTATATTGAGGTGATTAACAGAGACTTAACCAATTTTATTAACAAGTAATTTTACCTATTTACAATTACAACTTCCTCTTAAACATGGGTAGATCTGTATGGAATACTAGAAAAAAAAATTAAAAACAAAAATATTTTATAATAATAATAATAATAATAATAATAATAATAATAATAATAATCTGTCAACTACAGATTAACATATTGTAGGACAATTAGTTAAATTAATTGAAAATAAAAAAATTATCAGTAATATGAAATTTTGTTCCGAAATTACCCTAATTATATGTAGAGCTAAAGTAATTGTGTGTTGTGATTTTGATATCATATATATTTATATTATCAAATCAATTAACGATTCTTTTTAATTGTTTATTATTTTTTTAATACAAAACATGTCAAATAATTAAGAGCATTTGAGTAAAAAATAATTAATGCATCATCCAACTATAAAAGGGTCTTATAGAAAAGGGAAAACAAGTTATTTGAAAAAAAAGTCCTATATTATGATATTAGTATAATCAAATATCAAACATTAATTAAAGTTAGATAATTTAAGAAAAATATAATTACATGAATTAAAAGTAATTAAAATTTATTTATATATATATATATATATATATATATATATATAAAAAAACTTTGTTTTCTTTTAAATGAGAAAGGAATTTACAATTACCAACCTAAAATTAGCGTAAATCTACCATTACTTATATACGAGTATCAATCCATTTTTTGTAAAGAAATTTGTAGTGTATCTTTATTTTTTTTTATACAAGAAAAGTTAAAAATATCTTTTGTTTGCAAACAAGAGGTATTATATGCCAAATGATATGATATATTTTGGAAGATGATGAAAGAAGGAGTACTCAGAATACATTCTAAGATTTCCCAAATCCGCATCCATGGAAAATAGACCCTCCACACACCAATCAAATCACCATTTTTTCTTAACATCTTTTTCCTTCACTGCATCATATGCAACCAATTTTAATTTCATTATTTTCTAACACTTCAATAATTTTCTCTTAACATCATCATTTATTTCATCTTTAAACTTATATTATCAGAAAATTATCTCTCAACCACTTCAGCACATAAATAGCTACTACTATTAGTAACAAATTCAAACTTATCAGTTTATTATTGTGGTTCCATTATGCATTTATTTTAATTATATATTATTAATTATTTTTTAAACTATTTTAAGAAAAATTCTTATCAATTATATTTCAAAAGTAAACTAAATTATATGATAATTTTTTTTTAAGGAATAATAATAACCAACAATCATTAAAGAATAATTTGTCTTTAAAAATTTGGAAAACTAAAAAGAGATAATGTTAGATATTATTCTAAAACAAATTAGTTTTTTTTTTCTGATGTTTGCGTGATGCATAGGAATTAACATGTGCCATTATATACTAGAAGTCAATAAAAATTACATGGACAATAATAAAAATAATAAAAGGAAAAAATGTGATAAAAAAAAACCATTAACAAAATTAAGTTATCAGATATATATATATATATATATATATATATATATATATATATATATATATATATATATATATATCATAAATTTGATTCATTAACAAGGTTAACCAATAATTTTTAATCCTTAATTCAATATAAAAAATCTTGTAATTATAAATTGAAATTATTTATAATTTTAATAAAAAAATACTAGTAAGTATAAAATAAAAACTATAAAAAAAATTAATTATACTTCAATTAATCTACAAATGACAAAATACGTTTATAATAAAAGCTATAAAAGAATATACTATTTTATTAAAAATAAACAACAATAAAATAAAATTATTTACACAGTCAAAATTTTATATAAAAAAGTGTGTATATATTAAAATGAGAGTTGGTCTTAAGATCATGTATTAACTAATTATTAGAATTCTCACCACTAAATAAAAATGCAATAAATTGTGAGATTATAAACATTTAAATATAATTTTGCAACTACTATGATTATTGACCATAACTTTCTTAAATTACACCATTTGTTTTAGTTTTTAATTAATGGAGATTATAGATTATAAAAATGGTATGATAAAATTAGTTATTATGAAAAATAAAATTGAGAGGCATGTGTATTATTATAGTTGATTATAAAATATTTATCCACACTAGTGGAAGTTTGATTCCTCATCCCGTGAAGCATTGTCTAGAATAAAATCAAAGGAACATTTTATATCAAATCTTATTTGGAATCAAAGTACTAATAGTAATGAGGGAAGTAACCGTAGAAAGATTCGGCACCAAAAAAGATGATAATTTACCTCGTGTTTGCATAACCAATTAGTTGGGTACTTTTGAAAAGGAAAATTAATTCTCCATCAAATTCACAAGTCACTTGATCCTCTTCCACAAAGTCAAAAACTTTTTATCTCAAAATTAATAATTCATCAACCCTATGCATGCATCTCCACTTTTTTCAACATACATCACAACACACACACCACAATAACACAATCAAAATTCCAATCTAACAACCTTTCTTTCTTTTCCTTTATTTTCAACAATGATGTTTGGATTTCATCAATAGATTGATGGATTCTTTAGGTTAAACAATTTCGTTATGTATTATTATTATTATTATTATTATTATTATTATTCCATGTAATTATACCCTTATCTTAAGACTAAAAAAAGAAGTGATTACACCCAAGTTATTTTACCTCTAAAAAACCTAAACAAACTTTTACACAGTAGTAGGGTTAATTAATCCGAAAAAAGTGTGTCTTTTTTCTTGGATTCTCGATCCTATTAGCAACCCTAATATCTACAACCAAATTTTCCAAAAATAATATATAGCTGTCTACATTGACAACGTCAATCCTTCATTTTTTTTATTTTTTTCTTCAGAAACTTCATCATATGGGCACGTAGTGGTGAATTCTAGCTGTATTTGCATTGATTTTTTGTGCCTTTTAGCAACAAAGATAAAAACTTTTGGGACACTGTACGTGAGTTTAACTTATTCTCTATTTTGCAATAAAAGTGTGGTTCAGGGGTAGTGAAAGTTGATAGCTTTCAAAAATAAGAAATTGTAGAGCAATTAAATTTCCTTTTGGGTATAGTTATACCCCAAATCTAGTTTTGCTTCATGCTATAACTAATGTTTGTGTCATTGTTAAATAAAACAAAATACCTTAAAGTCACTCTTTTTAAATGCAATTTCTATCCTCCTATGTAAGGAAACATGGTTTTACCATTAACATATAACACTTTCGGTAACTCTTGTCGTATCCCAAATACAATGATTAAGAGAACTATAATGATATATAAGGATAAACATGGTTATATTTATATATTTTATTTACAATGATACTTATTTTTATTTCTTTTAAGACTTTGCATACTTTTTCACTTATTTAAATTTAATTATAGAAAAAGTAACATTATGATAATAAGTAAATTTAAATATTTTTCAACGTGTTAGGCAAAATATCTAACTGGACTATAATTTTATAACTATTAAATGAGATCAATGACTTACCATTTAGAGATTAAGCACTGGCTCTACCCATTATAGACTCACATCATAAACTTTATTTATGATTTATTAATAATCTATATTTAAAACTAGATAATACTGATCCACAAAAATTCATAACAAAATATCGTTAATTTATGTGTGAAGAAACAAAGAGATATTAACAATACAAAAAGTTATATATAATGGGATAGATATCGTATATGTTATAAAATTCATATTTCATGTATATAATAAATAAAATAAAACATAACTAAGAAAGGTATGCCATCTCAAAAAAATATAATATTAACATAATATATGTAACATGATAATAATTACAATAAATAGACATAAATATATAAAACTCATGTAATCTACACCATTTTGAAATTTTCAATAATTAATTAAATAATTGGTTGATAAATATATCATCATTATTTCATAGCAATGTATTTAATGTAGAAGTGCTTTGAAAAAACTTTAGAATAGTGTATAGTAATAGAAAAAGTGATAATGAATATATATTTTACAATCTCTGGTATTTAATCAATATAAATTTTCCTACGTATAAATTCATATCATATTAAAAGAACAATAAGTTTAGTTTGGATAACATACGTACATATTTTTTTAGAAAAAAAAATACGCACTATATTAATTTAACCACAAAATGTCAAGAATGAACAAAAACTTGCAACAATTGGTTCAAACAAAAAGTTATAATTAAAGTGAACTTTTCGTAAATAACTAAATAAACAGAATGAAACTTATTACGAAAGTGTAAAAGGAAAATTCATAAATCTCGAGACACGTCAATAATACTCAATATTCTTAGTATAAACTATTAAATTAAAATATGGTAAGTTTATGATATTAAGGACATCAATACCAAAGTTTTAATAAATATGGTATATAGTTTCGAGACAAATTAAGAAACATTACGACACATCATAATATAATTTCAAAATAATATTTAGGTAAAGGATACTATAAAAAAAAAAACTTAATTTGGATACTGTCTCGAAAATAATATTAATAAGATCAGTTGCTGATCGAGGTTATTGTTTTTCAGGCTAACAAAGTATTATAGAAAAGTGTTTCCTTTCTCTTTATTTATTTATGATAATATATTATAAAAGTGAGTCCTAAAATTTGAATAATAATAATATTTTGGACAAATCCTAAATTATAAAATATGAATCTAATATATTGGAGAGAGTTTTATGTATGTATTTTTAATTTGAGTTGTTTATTAAAATATTTAAATAAAATTTTAATTATTCATAATTTTGTATTATGAGGAATTTTAATTATTCATAATATTTAAAAAAAATGATGTGAGTTCCTTGTAGGAAGATGTAATAAAGAGACTCAAGAATGTCATAAATTATGTCCTGTTCAAAATTCTTAGAAAAATGGGTATATGATAATTAGTGAGGAAGCACTAAATAAACATCTTAGAAAATGCACAACACAATGTGTCAATCGTACAAAATAAATGTCTATCATGATCAAGTGGAAGGGGTCGCAAACCATAATAATAATATAATAAAAAAAAACATCATATAAACACATGCTACCTTTATTAAAAAAAATGCAACAAAAAGTATCAATATTAATTACATAATATTATTGAGAAAAAGAAAACTAAAGGTGTGTTGTATTAAAGTAAAACTTAAGTGTTTGCAGAAAATTTCAAGTTCAAATCCTAAGAATGTATAATTAAAAAAAATGTTTTTTTTTCTATAGTTATATAATTCAATGTCTAGAATAAACAAATTTTATTAAAAAAACGCATTAAGTAACAGAATTAGTAAATTATTTTTGGTATAAAAGAGAAATAATGTGAATAACTTGTAAACGCCTTATAGAAATAAATTCATTAACTCGTATAGATAAAATTCATCATGTCATTAATGCAAATATATAATCTGTATAATGAAAATGAGATAACTTTACAAATTGAAATGAAGATTATACTTTTTTTAAGTCAAAATATCTACAAAATCCAAAATTTAAATATTTTGGCAAAACAATAAATTAATATGAAATTTACCTATGACTGAAAATATTATTAACAAAAGAATGAACTGGACCCTGACTCAGAAAAAAAGAAAAAGAGATGCTAAACATAAAATGATATGATTTGTAAAATGGTCCAAATAGACGTCAACGTAAAGAGAAAGATGAAGAAGTCCTTATCCTATGTGTAGGCTTAGATGTCATTGTCCTTATCCTTATATTCGTTGCTTTCCATATTCAATGATCAGAAGGAATCTGTCTCTGGTGGGGGCACGAATTAAATGCATCATACATGTTAAAGAATTATAGACATAATTCTTCGAAATAAAATGCAAAATTAATATATATCAAATAAATAAATAAAATATTATTTATAAATTTAGAGAAACTAAATAATTTTTTATTCTAGTTTAAAGATACTTTAAAAAATAGGGTGATCATTGCGGTGCAGGTCGTGCTTGGCTCTTTCGCTGCTGTTCATAACAAATGGTTTACTTGTGTGATAGATGCAACTAGCTTTTGGAGTTTAGCTTACATATGAGCTTTCAATTAAATAATATGTAAGATTTTTTTTTTAAATAAAATTACTGCAAAGTCCATATTTTATTCAACAAAACAAGAGCTTTATCAACCAAAAATTCACTGGTTTTTACATTTATAATTGTAGCAAGAGGCCAAGGTCAAAATAATTTTAATTAAAACCATCAATCAAACATAAACTTACTTTACAAAAGTACGCTTCATTTACATACCATAAATTATGGCTGAACGTAAATCCAAACGTGTTATTCGACTGTGGGTTGGGTTCAGCTTTTAGGAATTAGGAATCGAATATATTTCTTCTTGTGTTCCATTAATTTTTCGAGTCACCTCCCAAATAAGCTTTCCAGAACGTAAAATATACATTCAGAGTGGAATGGAAGGTGAGTCAAGAAAATAGTGGGTGGAAAAAGTTAAAGCATGGAAGATGAGCAATATCACTCAGGACACTAGATTAGGAAATAAAAGACAAATTGGAAAACATGGATACTGATTCCTAACGAACATAAAAATGTAACCAACAAACACCATAAAATTAATCACATGAAACTACAGAAAGTGCGACCCTAAGGTTATTAGACGTTCCACATATATACATGCGGTAAGTTTCAATTTTTCGTTCCGAAACACAAGTAGTAGAAGTTGCATAGTGATTACCATTCATTCCATGCACTGAAAAAATAGTCTCCCTCAGGATTGGTTCATGGCCATTGAGAAGATTGCCCATACTCAAAACCTTTCTCCATGATTGGTTTGCAGTGGGTTGAACAAGCATATTTGACACCACTTCTCTCTCCTCATTCCACACCGCTTGTTTCTTGTCAAACTCCTAAGCATGGGATAGAGGAATGAATAGATATGTCAGTCCGTGATAATATTTTCTCCACTATACATTAATACTACCCAAATCATGAAGGTAATTGAGACATTTCACCTTTTCTTTCATCAGGCCTATTCCCATTCTTGGAAAATAGAAGCTGTAGAAATCATTGAAAATTTCTCTGGCTAGGCGAGGTGCTTGTAAAAACTTGCGATGAAGAGAAACTGCTAGAGTCAGTAATTTCTCTACGTGTTGGAAAACAACACACATTCGTCTTAGGTCGTCAATAGTCTCACTATCAGCAGATAAACGATTTTCTGCAACAGAATAAAATATAATTCTTTTCCAGAGAAGAGTTAGACAAAAGAATGTATACTAGATACCTTGCAAGGGCTTCAAAGCAGGTGACAACGTAAGGTAAAGGTACTGCATCATAGTCCCCATCAGTTTCAGCTCTCCATAATTACTTTGAATTAAGGTGTCGGCTGCTGCTCCAAAGGCAGTACACACCATTTGCTCAAGCAACTGATGTGGATGTAAAGCTTCCAGATAATGAAGAACCTAGAAACTCATTGATAATAAAATGTTTAAACATTTTTTATGTCGAAACCTAATATAGGCAAAAAACTTTAAATTAGTCCTTGTATGTACAGTCATTTTTTAATGTATCGCTAGTGTTTGTTGTTACTATGTACCATCTAGTTCACAACAATCTGTTTGCCAATAGCAGAAACAGGAAGCAAATACACGTGTCTAGAAAATATATTTACCTTTTCTCCTTCCCGATTTGGATCTAGAAGAGGCTTATGTTCGGAAACAGGAAGAGCAGGTGTGCTGCTCCAAATATTTCTCCACGAGTTCCCATTCTCGGACATTCTCTTTGAAAGCCTTCCTCTTGGAGGCCAATTATCTTTTGACATCTCAACCTCAAGGTCATCCACTATCCAATCCCCAGGTGAATGCCAACGAATAAAATCTTCAAGAACAGCATCTGGATTTGCTGCTTTGAATGCTGACATGTCTAAATCAAAGCAAATTACTGGTTTGTCACACAACATATTATTATCATATTATATTGTAGAATCTTGTATGCATTATTATAGCAGTTATTTTCTAAATACATATTTATAAATCCGTTATATTTTATAAAAAAAAAGGCTCAAGAAAGAAAGGAAACAGTAATAAACATTCTGTGAGGACAGGATACACTGTCACTAACATCACACGTAAAAGTTTTTATACAAATCTTTCCTTGCCAAAAATACGTCGTAAACCAATTTGCAGTTCATTGGTATATCTTAAAAAGGTTAACATGCAACATTTGAAAATAGAATCCATAATTAATGACTTCATTCAGCCTTATAAATGCCTAATTTTTCTTATATCTGTAGATATGGTCAAAATATTATACGTGTCATTCAATAACCAGGTGTATGAAAATCTCCTTCCTTGAAGTTATTTAATGGTGATGGTAGATCAAACCGTAAAAAAATGTCAAAGCATCAAGATCAATTATTCTAGGTATTTAGATTTTTTTAACATATCATGGCTCTACATCCAGATTTGACAATTTTTCTCCAAAAAAGAATCCGTAACTTATAATAACTAAAATAATTGTGAAATGGGACAAGCCTGCCCTTGTGATTTAACTCCTAATGCAAGCAGCTTACATGACAGTAAATCCTTGACTCTATCCACTAATGGATATTAAAATTAAATTAGACGCCCTAGTTACACTTACTTGAAGCTATTGTGTCCCTTTCCACCTGGGTAGCGAAATTCTACAAAAGAATAACAGGGAATGGTTAGCAACAATGCCACGTATGAAATGTCATAGCACATATGTATGCCATATACTTTTTGAATGTACAGCGTGTTCTCTTTGTTCCTAAAACCGAAGGCAAAATATGCATGGGAATTAAGTCACTTCTCACAACATTATATATATCAGAGTGTGCTTCTATGAGTGTTGACAAAATTAATTTTTATGATAAAATAAAATTAGTATTAAAACTCAGTACAAGTTTTGTTATCCAACACAAAAATAATTAAAAGTTCATTCAACTCGGAATCAATTCTGGATTATCTTGTTTTCGCTAGCCACTGGTCTCCCCTTTGAAATGTATGATAGGTCTCTGGTCTAACACTCAAAGCTTTTTTAGTTAACTATTATTATAGGCATTGCATAACAATTTAAACTTACCAATGGATCGCTACAGCCTTCAACAGCCTGGAGGAACTCTTCTTGCATGTCTTCTGTCATAAGTGGTGCTTCCTTTGGGATAGCAAACAAGATCCAATATAACATATTATTCAAAACATGTGATGTAGAACAACACATAATGATGATGTCAATTGGTGAGTGGATGTTACAGAAACCTGGGTGTATGGGGGATGCATGCTTTCATTTGACTTTAGAAGCATCATAGAATCAACAATACCAGCTGAACCTCTCCTGGAGCCGTCTGAAGATTTTTTATCATTAAAAAGGTTGGGATCTTCAAGCTTTCCACTAAATGCAGATACTGTTCTAACAGAATAATGCATATCACCAGCAGTAGGAAAGCTGCAGAACACAAAAAAGTAATACACCACATGTGCTACAAAATACTTAAATTATTTGCAAGGATACAAAAGCAAAAAATTGTAACGTAAAATGCAAATCCGTTATTAGTCTGAAATCATCTGACATGCAAAAGCTACATGGAAAAGATGATGGATAGAGACGCAAGTGTATGTATTTTGCTATGACAACATTAGAAAAGAAAAACTTCATCAACAGTTTAAAACTTTCCAATCCCTGCATATACTAGCTCATCAGGTAAGATGTACTAAATGTACCATCATAACATATTAGACTCCTGAACTGATCTTTCACAAATGAAAGCATTCAAAACTTCAGAAACTAAAATATCCATGGAAGGTATTTAAGACATACAAAAACCTCAATCAAAGTAATATGTTTTAGCGGTGATCAAGCTAAATTTGGATGCAAATAAATAACCAAGCAGGCCCCAACTTGCTAAGTTCACCTGTCAGCATCCCCAGAAAAATCCCCACAGATTCTCTGCATATTGAATGAGTCATCCCCAACTACACTTTCCTCCTGAAATTACAATCACTATTCATTTATGTTCTCAATACAAAATAATTCTAAAAAAAAGTAACCTCAGCAACACAATATTCAATCTAACTACAAACAACAGGAAAGTATAGTTTGAGACCTCAGTCATAGACTCTATTTGATCTTCACTTCCAATACAATCTTGATAATCTTCTTCAATTTCGCACTTCTTCTCAATGCATAATGCAAGCTGAATAGAAAAGCGAAAAACAGAATCCCCATCTTAAGATCACCGTGTATTCTATATAGTACAAACAACAAAATTTAAAAGCTCATTTAAATATTTCTATTTGATCTAAAAACTATATCGAGGGGTAACAGAGAACTTCAATTTGGCCACATCCCCAGGATATAAGTATGAAGCAGGGAAGTTAAGGATAAAAACTACTTTAAGCTTTAAATAAAAATTGCCAACGACTAAATTTTTCGGCATATAATACACCATAATTAATGATGATAATAAGAACAACTAATAAGTTGATTATAAAAAAGGAGCCCATATTAAAATAGCGAGTAAATATACAATTTATCATAATAATAAAAAAAAATGCACTGCAATTAAAGAGAAAAGGTCAATACGAAATTGAAGGAAACGGTAAGTTAAGAGTGTTCTAGAAAATTAATATTTAAAAAAAATATTGCACATTAAAATATATGTGAAATTAACAAGAATATGTGGAATATACTTCATCAAAGATCCTTCAAAATTTATTAAACAAAAATTACCATCAGAAGTTTCTGGTTTATCAAACAAGTGGAAATGTCAATTGAACCATTTGCTGGCATTCGAGGGATTAATTGTGACTCTTCCCAACACCTCCTAACCTCTTGAACAAACTCCATCCATAGGACAGCAATAGCTGACATACAGACCAAAAATGAAGTCATGCAATTCAAAATATACAGTACATACAAGAAATCTCAAAATTAATGCCACCTTGATGATTATAATTCTGCTAATTTGCTAGTTTATGCACCAATAAAACCCTCATTTGGTACTTACCTCGAATGTTGCAGTCACCAAGCCAAAGAGAATGTAAACAAAATTGTGCAAAAAGAGATTCAAGAGGTGCGCCTTTTATGGCTCGAGAAGTCTTATTTCCACCATAAGCCGAATGTCCGACCTGTATTCCTGTAGACATTATGCAAGCAATAATAACAAAATAACATAAAGTGATCTACTTCGAATTTTTAACATCCAAATAACCCTCAATGCCATGTCAGGTTTCCCAGGGATACTTGGAATATGCAGTGATCAGGTATAAATTATAATGCAGAAAGTAAGTTTCATGTGGTAAATAAAAAATAAATAAAAAGGATGCAAAAGTAAGGAAAGGGCCAAAAGTATTCAATAGATAGAAATATTGTCTTATTTCTTATGATTTGCTTGTAAGACAACCAAGGACTCTTTTCAGGAACTTGAAATACAGCACTTGTAAATTTCTTAACTGTTTGATAATGAATTCACAAAATCTTTTCGCATGTCTATTTGGCAACATTGGCCCTATGGACTACTATCACATGTTGGATAGAACAAAGCAAACAGAAACCTATGTCCTATGAAACAATGAAGTTATTAAAGTAGCCTTGAAACAAGAACAGCCAATTTCAAGTTCTGTTTCGTGATTTACCTATTCAAGTGAACTGCCTTAAACTCTACTAAATAACGTTGTAGTAAATATTCAGTCTTTTATTGTTCAAGATAAATCATAACAGCCCCTAGTAAAAGCAGAATTTCATGTGCCTAATGAAAGCTACTTTTGGTCCACTCTCCAAGTATAATTTGTGCTTGATCTGATAAATAAAAATAACAAAATGGAGGCTAGTTCTACTATACTACCAGGGCATTGGTACCTTGCCTTGTTGGCAGATTTAATTACCATCAATTGGATACATGTGCAAAATTTATAACTGCCAACAATGCAAGATATCAATGACAATGGTGCACCGAGGCATTCATATAAATGATAAACAAAATATAGAGGAAGAGGGCAGAACTAAGTGCCTTCTTGAAATAGCTTTTTCAGTACTCGATCTCTAACAGTTGGTGGAGGTATAACAATTGAGGAATTCAAATTGTCAGAACCAAAGTTCTCATCTGCGAGCCAGAAGAAGGAAAATGTTAAACTATTTCACCAAATATTAATATCATTTATCAACTATTAAATGCAAAACCAGCCGGAATAGCCAAAACAAATTCAAACCTGAAACAAAATTTTCCATAAATTGGGCCTTGAACGACATTTTCAATGCATCAACTAGAAAATGCAACCGGGATGCAAATCCAATTTGATTCCATTCAGAACCTTCAAGCCTATATAAATGAACAAATTATAAAAATAAATAGAAAATTAACTATTTCGATCCCATTTGATTCCTCTTTTTTCAAGGAAAGACATTCTCATTTTGAAAAAAAAATAAAAACTCTTATAAAATATTTTAGTGTTTGTTTAAACTATAAAAAAGTCAGAATTTGGAAAAAAAAAAGATTTATGATTATTTTGAGAAATTACTTTGACTAGCTTCTTAACAAAAAAGTTGATATTACCTAATCCTAACTACCTTATATATATATATATATATATATATATATATATAAATGTTTTTACAATTTAACCCAACAAAATATAGCTTCTACTGCACATAGAATCTCTAAGAATAAATCACATTTTTTAAAAGGTTGGATAAACGAGACATTGAGAAGTATTAGAAACTGATCAGGTTTCAATCATGAACTACCCAAAAATTATTGTTTTTGCTAAATCCTGTAACTATACAAGGAACCATAGGTAATGCTTAAACAAGGAGGAAATAAAATCCATGGATGGTAACTATTGACTTGTAAAATTACAACAAATTATAATAAAAAATATATGTAGAACTACAACTAATCCATCCATTATAATTTTATATGTTTGTAAATATTGATTGATATGGAAGAAAATGAGATTTCTGAGAGGATGTTAGTTTAATTTAACAAGTTTATGAGGGGGAAGGAAAAGTAGAAGAAACATATACTAGCAAAGTGTAACCTCCCTGATTTTATTAGAACTGGATCGGATTTAAGTTAGTTAAGTAGAATGGAAAGAATGGGAATTTTTTTGGTTGTGCTCGGCTCTCAAGATTACAATCAGGGAGGTTACATTACAGGACAGAGAGAAGAATGAAGAACAAGTATATAGAAAGAGAAAAATCTCCTTTCAGGAAATTTGAAACTCATGACTCCTCCTATAATTTATTCTTGACAACTGAACCAACTCCTCTCTTTCTCCCATTGCTAAAACTTCTTAACTACCTGGCAGAATCCTAGCTTGCCATTCAACTGTCAACAGTATTAATTAAATCCTCTAATTCCCTCTACTCCCTTTTATTCTTTCTGGTATACAGTATGCATACACCCTTGGGGTCTCATCATATTATTCTTTAGTATATACTTAGCAAGCAGCACCAATGGAAGCACTTGTCATTGGAATTTTGGTTATCTGTATTTTCCAGAGAAAAAATCATACAGTTTTGGAGCACAACTTGGAGAGATCAACCACTTCTCAGCTTCATAAGGTGAGGCATTTTCCAGTTCAGCCATTTCCGTTGAACTTTCAACCATCTTCTCTGACCATATTGTAATCAACTCAAAACCTGCGTGCAGCCTATTCATATGTTAAATGGTAGTGGCATTCACATTCAAAATAAAGAGACATGGAAAAGATGAAGCTTGGAGATTTTAATAATTAAAAACCAGAATCAAATTTTAACATACAAAATCCAGAAAGACAAATGTAACCAAACAAGGGGCAAAAGTCCTCCTGGGAAGATAGACGTGCATCATGATCGGAGTAGATATAAATATGGGATTTAAATTGATACCGGGTACACTGGAAATGGCAAGAAGAACCACGAGAAACTTATGTCAGTGGTGAGATTTTCTTGTAACATGCAAAAAGCATATTTTCCGGCAGACTATTGTATTGGAAAGAGATAAAAGCATTTAATGTATCTTAAACTATATTCTTGTGTATGCAAATAACCCCATCACACCAGGGCTTTTGTAACTACCAGTGTAGTCAAAGACACCAAAAGGCCTTCCTATAGTGAGGTGGGCACCATTTGGCTTCTGTCCCTAAGTGTTAACACATACATACTAGCGCATTAAGGGGACCATTCACTTTATATTGTGGTTTCGATATGATGAGCGGCACCAATATTCGGAAACATGTTTTATTAAAACATGTTGTATCTAACAAATGCATCCATCCAATGACCTAAAACTGCTGCTACCAACAGGTCCCCAATTCCAGGGATTTACCTTTAACAGGATCCTCTGCAGAATACCACTCACTCCAAGGACAAGCATTATCCCACAGTGTTTCATTGGGGGCTTCACAGATAAGACTTTCTCCAGAATTTGTATTTTGAGCATCAATGGCTGTAATATTGTCATCGTCATAAGGAAGCATTTTGTATGTTAGCTTCATTGCAAAATGCACGTTGAAAAAATGAGTAGAGAGATCCAATGTAGAGTAGGCCTTCAGTAGCAAATGAAAAATAATTAATACAAGGGAAAGTTCAAGCGACGCTGCTGATTAGAAGTCAGTTCAGCACAGAACTTCTGACTTCAACATTTAAATAGAAAATAGAAAGAAGAAAGAGAATAGAATAAGTAAATAACTTCCATACAAAGCTCACTACAGACCGTCAATTCTTTCATGCAAATATAAAATAAAATGAAACATAATCAAGAAAAGTTCTAGCATTACTAACAATGAATGTCAACTCTAGAATAATGAATATTTATTTATTTACCCATTTATCATATTTTATCTCTAGTTACCCACCCTTGGGAGGGAGTTTAGTGGATTGGTAATAGTTACAAGTCCCTCATTGAGTAGGGACAAAAAAAACACAATGAGATAAACTATGAGGCTCTCCCACTTAATGAACTGGTTTTATTAGGTGGTTCTACTTGTGAACTCTGGTCATAACAGTGACCAACGTGTTTCAGATCAGTAATTATGTCAGCATCAATTAAAGAGTGACTTTATGGAAGAACAGTGCACAAAGGGTATATCTAATTAAAAATTTATTGCAAAGTCATAAAAATTGAGAAAAAATTAAATAAATTATTTAATAAACAACATGGGTAAGGAACTCACAAACTTAGACACAAACAACTCGTACAGGCCCTCCAAATGCAAGAGTCTTATTGGAACCTGACTACCAATCCAATCTGCTTCAAACCTTCTAGTGAATACAGTACCCAAGTTCTGAATTCCAATATATGCTTTCCGCGAAGGATCATGAACTGGAACAAATGCTGGCCATAAACTACATAACAGATATTAAAAGAAACTACATATCTGCTTTAATTACCCAGTTTTGAGTAAACTGGATATTTCAAAGACTTTTAATTTAAAATTTTTGAAAACATAACAGACTATACACTCACACTCCTTGTGTTTTTCTCTTATTAAGCCCGATACCCTTTCCTTATCTATATATGTTGTGGGAACTATTGTACTTTGGATTACAATGCTCTTAGGCATTTTGAAATTATTGTTTTTCAATTATTTTATAATTAAAAAGAATTCTAATCCAGTGCATAATTTAACAAACTTCATTTTACCGGAACTTTCCATTACAGTATTCCACTAGTTGTTTTAATCTTTGCTTAGCTTTTTTACTAATATATTGGATGTTTATAGCCGGTTAACTTTGTACATTACAATATTTTGCTGCCTTTGATATATTCCCTTTATCGGTTGTATACCAGATGCAATATGCAGTATGGATTGGATTGCAAACTTTTCTTTATCCTTATGATCTCTGAAGACTAATCCAATTTTAAACCCATATTAATTTTATTTTTTAATTTAAATTCAATTAAATAAATTGAATCTCAACTGTAGAAAATCTTGAATCCATGTGTTATTCTCAAATTGATTGAACTTGAGATGTCCATTTTGTTCTAAAATGAAGAGGATGTGAACCAGAAACGGGGTGGGGCATTTTTAGAACAAGAAGTCGTTAAAAAACATGTGTTGATCACATGTAAAAATTTATTAATGGAATAAACGTCAGTTGGGTCCCAGGAGTGGACATTGTAATTGGACACAAACAATAAAGGGTTTTTATTTAGAGAAAATGGAGAGGACTATAGCAAAATTAGTGGGGTGCGAATGTAATTTATTCAAAATAAAAGAGACATTAAATAAACTCATATATCCAAACAAGTAGCATTTTAGTAACTAATTGTAGTCAGACAAAATGCAAATGTAAAATATATGTGCACGTGCACACATGTTATTGTAAATTTCCACAACTTATTAAACATTAAAAAACAAGAAAGAATAGTTACCTTGAACAATTTGACAAAGCAATTGCAACAGCACTCAGTAGCTTGCTTGCCTCTGGTACATCAAGAACAACACTGCTTGCACTTTTAGGAGAAATCACCTAGGGCAAGGCAATACGTGTTTCCTTTAGTGCAAGCATTAAATTTTCAAACAAAAGGCTAGATAAAACATTAAGTGTATAATAATCATGCATCGACAGTGTAAACATTTAACAACAATTCAAGAATAGTGTAACTTTTAGGTAGCACTATCAATTTCTACCTGATGAATCAGCTCGAGCAATCCAAAAACAAGATAGGTTAGATTAAAAAAATTATAACCATAATTGAATCAAATTATTTTTTACTTGACTCATTTAGTCCTAAGCATAAATAACCTTAAGTTGGTCTGACTCATAAGTTTATGGACTAGTTTATTTTAAAAAATAATATTATTTCATTAGAAAAAAAGAAAAAAATATATATATATATATGTACATTATAATTTATATATCAAATTATTATATCTAAAGTTAAAATTAATTTCATTAATATAACTTCAATTTCCAAAATTTGTTTTCATTTTTCATTTAATTTTTTTTTTAAATGGGTCAAAGTGATCTGTTAGCCTAGTTAGGTCAGGCTTAAAATATGACCTGTTTAGAAATATGAGCCTAGATAATTTTTTTCAAGTGATCCCTAGGACAAGATGGCCCATTTAATAGCTCTTCATGGTAAAAGTCAACAAACTCATACATGAAAATTTGTGATTGGATGCTAGGATAAAACTAATTGACATTGTCAAACCTTTTATTCAAACATTAAAACATACCAAAAATTCCTTTACTCCAAAACATAACTGCAGATCATGAAAAGAAGACCTCCAGTCTGCAGTGCCAGGTTTTCCTGTTTCATCCAGAAGAACAGTTAGATTAAAAAATAAGTTAGTCAGCCCCAAGATCAACGCACTAACATTAACCCAGTGCACCAGGCTCCCAGCTAGTGGGGTTTGGGGAGGGTAGATCGAATGCACGCAGCCTTACTCCCACAGGCAGAGAGGTTGTTTCCATTATCTAAACACATAACCTCCAGGCTAGAAAAATAGTAACTTTTGTGTCAAGGTTCAACTTGCTCAATATATTAAACATCTACAGCCCAAAAAGTTACATATTACCATTAATGTTGGTCTCAAAACAGTACTCCATGCAGTAACTTTTCATGGCATACTTCAATTCGGATTTGACCTTGTATGAATTTTTGGGATACCCTAACGTAACTGCACCTTTATCCTAGATTGAAAGAAATGAAGTTTGTTCAGGTAAAAACAAATCGCACAACAAATTTAAAAGGAGAGATGTAACTTTAAGTAAACATCTTACTCTGTACAACAAACTGCATATTAAGTGACAGTAGCAAACACAATTGGCAAAAAGGACTTCGTTATGTTGAAGTATTTATGAGATTAGTTGTATCTAACTATAGACCTAATTCCTAAAATGCATCTGTTTATCTTCTATAGGTTTAATCATTTCTCTCTATTAATTGTATCTCAGAATCTATATCTTCATCTCCTATAAATAAAAGAACACAAGAGAATGATTTCAAGCTCTCAAAAACAGTTCTTTATTTTCCTATTATCTATTGCAAGTTGGTATCAAAGCGGGTTCATCCCGCTCTGCTTCTCTCTTCTTTTTTCTCCGGCATTAATCGCTGCTCGCCGCCGTCCGCCGGCGGCACAGTCATTCTCCGGCGCCGTTTCTCTCTCTGACACTTGGGTTAGGATCGTCTTGAGGAGCGCGAGCCAACCCATTGGTCGCTTCCTCCGCACATGAACACGCGCCGCCCTCCCGGTGGCTGTTTTGCTCCAAACCACCACCATCTGGCTCGCCTCGTCGCCCTGGAGTCGGATCTACCCTTTGTTTCGTGTTCATTGTCACAAAACGTTGGTGGTTCTGCGTTCTTCTCTCTGCCACTCTCGGTCTTCTCTTTGCCTCTCTTTGCTTCCATAGACAACACAGAGCTTTGCAGGTCCTCTCTTGTTTCCTGAAAAATGTCAGGATCTGCGTCTGTATCTTTTTCTGGGACTCTTACTATAACCACAGAAAAATTAAATGGGAAAAATTACTTGTCTTGGGTCTCCTCTGTTGAGCTCTAGTTTCTAGGACAAGCGGTTCATGATCATCTAGAAGAAGACGGAACTACAAAACCAGCAGATCAGGCTCCTCAATGGAAGAAACTGGATTATCAACTTTGTGCACTATTATGGCAATCTGTTGAACCAAATATTTTGAGCACTCTTGGATCCTTCAAGACATGTAATTCCTTTTGGAAAAAGTCTCAAAATATCTTTGCTAATGATATTCAACAACTCTATGATTCTGCTAATAGACTAGCCTCCCTTAAGCAAGAGAATAATACCATGATGTCCTTCGTTGCTGAAGCTCAATCAGCAGTTGAAGAATTAAAAATGTTCCTGGAGGCAGAGTCATTAGAGGAAAGAAAGACGAAGCTGGATAAATTCTATATGGTAATGATTCTTAGGGCTATGAATCCAGACTTTAATCATGTTAGAGACCAGATTCTAACTGGAGAAGAAGTTCCTTCTATGGAGAGTTTAATCACAAGGCTACTTCGTGTTCCATCTATCAAAAACAAAAACAGTCAGGAACTTGTTGAATCTTCCACCATCTGCTCATGGAAAAGGTAATCACGGCAATAGAGGACGTGGTGGTAAAGGACGTCCTCAATACTCTCATTGTAAAAGAATGGGACATACTAAGGAAAATTGTTTTGCTTTGCACGACTTTCCTGATAAGACAGCCAATACCTCAAAATCTGAAGTTGATGAGCCCAAGTTCTCTCATGAAGAGTATCAAGAATATTTAAGGATGAAATCAACCAATCTAGCTCAAGCATCTACAACACCAAATTCGTCAACCGCTTGCATTTCGCAATCTATGGAAAGTCAAAATCCGTGGATTATTAACTCAGGTGCTTCTGATCACATGTCTGGTAATACCTCTTTATTCTCCTATCTTTCATTTCCTAAAACCTCCCATCTCATATCTTTAGCCAATGGATCTAAAGTAACCTCTAAAGGAATTGGTCAAGTATCCATCTCTCCTTCCTTAAACCTTCAAAATGTTCTTTGTGTTCCTTCTTTTCCATTTAGTCTTGTTTCTATAAGCCAATTAACCAAATCATTGAATTGCTCAGTAACCTTTAATGTCAATTATTTTGTTATCTAGGAACGTGGTACGAGATGACTGATTGGAGAAAGACATGAATCTGGAGGCTTATAGTTACTTTAAGTAAAGAAATTTAAAAGGAGAGATTTAACTTTAAGCAAACATCTTACTCTGTACAACAAAACTGCATATTAAGTGACAGTAGCAAACACAATTGGCAAAAAGGACTTTGTTATTTGTACATCAATATTGTTACATTTAGAAGTTGCTTTAGGGCTGAATATGTCTATATGCAATTTTTTTGTTTCAGTTGTTAAATTACTGTCCTAGTCTGTAGGAAGCAGTTAAGTCTTTAGGGAGCAATTCAGTTTTTTGTTGTTGATTATGGCTTTATTCTAGGATCATGTTGTTAATGGGTAATTTCTCTCTTTTTTCTTTAAATTATAATGATTTAGATTTGGATATCACTATGAAGTTATTCCATTCCTCTGCTGCAGCATTCTCTCGTTGTTTTCTCTGTTTTTCTCAAAACATTATCTTCTAAAACTAACAATTGGTATCACAGAGCCTTATTCTTGAGGGACCTGTGAGAGAAAAATCTAAAAGCATGGAAGGTGATTCAAGTTTTTCAGCAATAGCACCACTAGTCTTCAATGGTGAAAATTATCAAATTTGGGCGGTACGAATGGAAGCCTTCCTAGAAGCTCTGGATCTATGGGAGGCAGTTGAAGAGGATTATGAAATTCTTGTGCTACCTGACAATCCAAAAATGGCTCAAATCAAGAATCACAAGGAGAGAAAATCCAGAAAAGCTAAGGCAAAGGCGTGCCTCTTTGCTGCAGTTTCACCAACAATTTTCACTCGAATCATGTCTCTAAAGTCAGCCAAAGTCATATGGGATTATCTCAAAAAAGAATACGATGGAGATGATAGAATCAAAGGCATGCAGGTGTTGAATCTCATTAGAGACTTTGAATTGCAGAAGATGAAGGAATCTGAAACTATCAAGGAGTACTCTGAGAGGCTCTTGAGCATAGCAAACAGAGTAAGATTGTTTGGTTCTGAATTTAATGACTCTCGTATTGTTGAAAAAATTCTGGTTACTGTGCCTGAAAGATTTGAAGCTACCATAACCACGTTAGAAAACACTAAGGATTTGTCCAAGATCACCTTGGCAGAGTTGCTGAATTCCTTGCAGGCACAAGAACAACGAAGGGCTATGAGAGAATAAGGATTTCTTGAGGAAGCCTTGCCTGCTAAACATGAAGACAAGTGGAAAAACAATAAAAAGAACCAGCAACCAAATAAAGAAGGTGCTTTCAGATGAAAGCAAAGCAGGAAGCTCCAAGGGAAAGTATCCTCTTTGCAAGCATTGTAACAGGATGGGTCATCCTCCATTCAAGTGGTGGAGAAGGCCTGACGCTAAATGCACCAAGTGCAATCAACTTGGACATGAAGCTATCATATGCAAGAACCAAACTCAGCAGTAGGAAGAAGATGCTCAAGTTGCAAATGAAGAGGAGGAAAATCAACTTTTCTTGCAACCTGTTTTTCAACCAATGCTTCAAGCGAATCTTGGCTAATTGATAGTGGTTGTACTAACCACATGACCTTTGACAAGGCATTCTTTAGAGATATGAGACCAATTGATGTCACCAAAGTCAGAATAGGCAATGGTGATTATATCTCAGTCAAAGGAAAAGGGACAGTTGCAATTACAAGCTGTGCAGGCACAAAATTTATTCCAAATGTTCTTTTTGTTCCTGAAATTGACCAAAATTTGTTACGTGTTGGTCAACTGATTGAAAGAGGATTTAGAGTTATTTTTGAAGACAAATATTGCTTGATTAAAGATGCAGCAGGTCAAGATATGTTCAAGGTAAAAATGAAAGGAAAAAGCTTTGCTCTAAATCCATTGGAGGAGGAGCAATCTGTTTTCTCACTCAAGGAAAATGTGACAAAAATCTGGCACAAGAGGCTCGGGCATTATCATCACCAAGGGCTGCTGCAGTTGAGTGAAAAAGGGTTGGTAGTTGATGTTCCTAAGCTTGAGGATCGAATTTCTAATTGCAAAGCTTGTCAATTTGGCAAGCAAAATCGAAAAGACTTTTCAAAGGTAACATGGAGAGCATCAAGAAAGCTACAATTAATTCACAGTGACGTTGCAGGACCTCAAAGAACACCTTCATTAAATGGTAATCTTTGTTATATTATATTTGTTGATGACTTCACCAGAATGTGTTGGATTTTTTTGCTTCAAGTACAAATCAGAGGCAGTTCAAATTTTTTGGAAGTTCAAAGTTAAGGTTGAGAATGAAACTGGTCTCAAAATTCAGATCATGAGGTCAGACAATGGCAAGGAGTACACATCTGAAAAGTTTAATCAATTTTGTGAAGATTTCGGCATTGAATATCAACTTAGTACTCCCTATACCCCACAACAAAATGGGGTTAGTGAGAGGAGAAATAGATATATCTTGGAGATGACAAGATGCATGCTGTATGAGAAGAATTTGCCAAAGAAATTCTGGGCAGAGGTAACAAGTACGGTTGTTTTTCTTCAAAATAGACTTCCCACAAAGGCATTAAAGGACCAAACACCATTTGAGGTCTAGTATGGTTACAAACCATCTCTGAAATTTCTTAAGATATTTGGTTGTTTGTGCTTCATTCATGTTCCGCAGCGCAAGCGAGATAAGCTAGATAAAAGAGCATTAGCAGGAATTTTTTTAGGCTACAGCACAGTTAGCAAAGCCTATAAAATCTTTCAAGCGCAAAACGGGAAAATAGTTATTAGCAGGGATGTTCACTTTGTGGAAGATGAAGAATGGAATTGGGATGATACAAAGAAGACAGATCTGGCCTTTACAGATGTGAAGTTCAAGTTTTCAGCTTCAAACATAGAGCAGAATGAAGATGAAAGTTGGCAAAATGAATTGGTAGATGATGCTCCTGTAAGAGGTACTAGATCACTCTCTGATATTTATGAGAGATGCAACATTGTTGTTTGTGAACCTGTAGATTTTGGAGCAGCAGAGAAAGATCAAAATTGGATGGTTGCAATGAAGGAGGAGTTGTTTATGATTGAGAAAAACAAAACATGGGAGCTTGTTCATAAACCCCAAGGCAAAAAGGTAATTGGGGTAAAATGGGTATTTAGAACCAAGTTAAATGATGATGGTTCAATCAATAAGCATAAAGCAAGACTTGTAATTAAGGGGTATGCACAGATTTTTGGTGTTGATTATTATGACACATTTGCGCCAGTTGCCAGGCTTGATACAATCAGGTTACTTCTTGCTATTTCTGCACAACTTGGCTGGAAAGTGCATCAGATGGATGTCAAATCAGTATTTCTTAACGGGATCTTAGAAGAAGAAATTTATGTTGAGCAACCCGAAGGTTTCGTTGTGGAAGGCAAAGAAGACAAAGTCTATCACTTACACAAAGCTCTTTATGGCCTAAAACAGGCCCCAAGAGCTTGGTATAGTCAAATAGATGATTATTTGCTTGGCCTTAGCTTTGAAAGAAGTCTTTCAGAATCCTCGCTCTATGTTAAACACAATAGCAGTGAGATTCTTGTTGTTTCTCTTTATGTGGATGACCTTTTAATTACTGGGAACAGTGCAAAGCTTATTGATGAGTTTAAACTAGATATGACGCAGGCTTTTGAAATGACTGATCTTGGTCTGATAACTTATTTCCTTGAAATGGAGATCAATCAAGGAAAGGACCAGGTTTTCATTTGTCAAAAGAAATATGCAAAGGAGATTCTGAAAAAATTTAGAATGGAGGATTGCACAGAGAAAAATACTCCTACGAATCAAAAAGAGAAGATGTGCAAGGAAGATTGTACCAATAAAGTTGATGAAAGGTATTTTAGAAATTTGATTGGTTGTTTGATGTATCTTACTGCAACTCGTCCTGACATTATGAATGTTGTAAATATTTTGTCTAGGTTTATGCATTGTGCAAGTGAACTCCATCTCAAGGCTGCAAAGAGAGTGATTCGATATGTCAAAGGGACAAGTGGTTTTGGTGTTAAATTCACAAGGAACAAGGAGTTCAAGCTGGTTGGATTCTCTGACAGTGATTAGGGAGGTTTTGTTGATGATATGAGAAGCACTTCAGGCTATTGTTTTACGATTGGATCTGCTGTTTTTTCGTGGAACTCGAAGAAGCAAGAAACAGTGGCTCAATCCACTGCTGAGGCAAAGTTTGTTGCTACAACAGTTGTTGTTAATCAAGCCTTGTGGCTGAGGAAGATTTTAATCGATCTTAATCTAGAGCAGAAGGAAAGTAGAGATATTTTTGTAGACAATCAAGCTGCCATTATCATTTCCCATAATCCTGTTTTTCATGGAAAAACTAAGCATTTCAACATCAAGTTGTTTTTCTTAAGAGAAGTGCAGAAAGATAAAGTTATAACTCTAGTTCATTGCAAATCTGAAGATCAGTTGGGAGATCTCTTTACCAAACCACTTCCAGTTAGCAAATTCAAGTTTCTAAGACAAAAAACTGGTGTTTGCAGCCTCTAAAGCAAGGAGGAGTGTTAGAAGTTGCTTTAGGGCTGAATATGTCCACGTGTAATTTTTTTGTTTCAGTTGTTAAATTACTGTCCTAGTCTGTAGGAAGCACTTAAGTCTTTAGGGAGCAGTTCAGTTTTTTGTTGCCGATTATGGCTTTATTCTAGGATCATGTTGTTAGTGGGTAGTTTCTCCTTTTTTTTCTTTAAATTGTAATGATTCAGATTTGGATATCACTGTGAAGTTATTCCATTCCTCTACTGCAGAATTCTTTTGCTGTTTTCTCTGTTTTTCTCAAAATATTATCTTCTAAAACTAACATTACACAATGTAGAAACTTTTCTTCAGAGAGTAAGGATAGATAGCACGTCAATGGTAATGTCTTTCTTTTTTATTATTATCCAAAAAGAAAATAGAGTAAGAACAGGGTGACAAAAGAGATGTGTAAAAACACTATTTAATGAATAAATTATACAAAATAAAATTGAAGTTAAGGAACAACACAATACTGAATTTGATTAAAGTAACTGAAACATTAAAAATTGTAAAGTACAATTTGACACCATCGGCATTTTCGCCATATTTCCTTGTCATCCAGTGTGAAAAAGGTTGGACATTTCACATCAATTAGAAATATAGTCAAATTATAATATGTAAGTGAAGGAAACTTATAAACTGATTTTATAAGGTTAAGTTACATCAAAACTCACATTAAAAAATGATATAAGAGTCTATCCTAACGAGATTTGTTGCACCTATCGTATATGTACCGCTGTTCGCTCCAACGGGACACGCTTACCTGACTCACTCTGTCAGGAAGACTTTCGATACAAAGACCACTCTGTTCCACTGCCAATTAACCTCCAACTTTGATACCACTTGTTGGGTCTTTTGAGGGGAGAATCACAGGGGAGAAACTCACCAATGAGACAAGAGTCCAACCTACATAAGAATTGACACCATTCTCAACCAAAAACCTTAAGACATTGGATTATGGGTCACATTTCCTTATATGTTGCTTAACTTTCTCATTCTTACCTAATGTGAGACTTAAAATTATGTATTTTCTAACAATCTTCCCTTCAAATGTGAACTTTTTCACATTGGTACATCGCCCTCAAACTCATCAGTAGCCCTTCCACGTACTACCGTTCACTTTAACGGGACACGCTTACCTGATCCACACTATCAGGAAGACTTTCGATACAAAGACCACTCTGCCGATCAACCTTCGACTCTGATACCACTTGGTGGGTCCTTTGAGGGAGATTTACTAGGGAGATACAACATCAATAAGACCTGAGCTCAAACCACATAAGGATTGACACCATTCTCAACCCAAAACCTTAAGGCATTAGATTATGGGTCATACTTCTTTATATGTTGTTCAACTTTTTCATTCTTACCCAATGTGGGACTTAGAATCACACTTGCATTTTCTAACAATCATACTTCCTTATATGTTGTTCAACTTTCTCATTTTTACCCAATGTGGGACTTAGAATCACACTTGTATTTTCTAACAATCCCCTCAAGTGTAAATCCCTCCACATTGGTACATCCCCTCGAGCTCACTAGTGATCCTTCTATGTATCGCCTCCACATTGGTACATCCCCTCAAGCTCACTAGTGGTCCTTCTATGTACCGCCGTTCACTCTAATGGGACACGCTTACCTGACTCACTCTGTCAGGGAGACTTTTGATATAAAGACCACTCTGTCCCACTGCCGATCAACCTTCGACTATGATACCACTTGTTGGGTCTTTCGACGGGGGATTCATAGGGGAGAAACACACCAATGAGACAAGAGTCCAACCCACATAAGAATTGACACCATTCTCAACCCAAAACCTTAAGGCATTGGGTTATGGGTTACACTTCCTTATATGTTGCTCAACTTTCTCATTCTTACCTAATGTGGGACTTAGAAACACACTTGTATTTCTTAACAATATCCCCCTCAAGTGTGAATTCCGAGCTCATTAATGGTCCTTCCATTTACCACCATTTACTCTAACGGGACACGCTTACCTGACTCACTCTGTCAGGAAGACTTTCGATACAAAGACCACTTTGTCCCACTGTCGATCAACCTTCAGCTCTGATACAACTTGTTGGGTCCTTTGAGGGAGATTTACTAGGGAGATACAACATCAATGAGACCTAAGCCCAAACCACATAAGGATTGACACCACTCTTAACCCAAAATCTTAAGACATTAGGTTATGGGTCATACTTCCTTATATGTTGTTCAACTTTCTCATTCTTACCCAATGTGAGACTTAGAATCACACTTGTATTTCGGCTCTGATACCACTTGTTGGGTTCTTTGAGGGGGATTTACTAGGGAGATACAACATCAATGAGACCTGAGCCCAAACCACATAAGGATTGACACCACTCTTAACCCAAAACCTTAAAGCATTAGGTTATGGGTCATACTTCCTTATATATTGTTCAACTTTCTCATTCTTACCCAATGTGGGACTTAGAATCACACTTGTATTTCTTAACACATACTACTCTTAAATGTCTAGTCACAGAGGTGATTTCCAATTATCCATATAGAGGGTGTAGTGGAGATTTCACATTTACTAGAGATAAGATCAAATTGTAGTATATAAGGTGTTGCGTTGAACCTCATTTTACAAGTCAGTTCTATAAAGTAAAGTGAAGCCTAAAATCACTTTTTGAGAAAAACACACAAGGAACTGAAGACAAGAGGAAGAAAACAGCAGCCGATGTACCATAAAAATATTTCTTGGCATTCAGCTGATAATTTGTAAAGATTATCTAAACAAGAAATCATCTTGAGCCAAAAGTGTAGATAATTAACAAACTATCTAAATCCGGAGCTAGAGATAAAAATCGTAAATGAATTTAGTTTTTTCTGTAACCATAAATTCAATACAACACATAAGTGTGCATAAAACAACTGTCCTATCCATGAATGAATGAATAAGCATAATATCATAGAATCACTTTTGCTTCCCACTTATAAAGATAAACCTTGAACATTTTAACTAAGAGTGCGACAACAAGCATCTTCAATTACTTCCATATCTAACCTAAAGCTGGTAATTACTGAATAGAATTGGAAGAAGTCAAAAATCCATTTGGGGAACTAATCTAATAATATCTGGGAACTGAATAAACGTTAGGTCCCGTTTAGATAAATTTCTACCTAAACACTTGTAGAAAAGTAAAATAAAAAGGAAAAATGAAAAATGAATTTAATTTCTCTTGTAAGTTAAAATTACCTTATGTATCTCAGTTTTTAGAGAAATTAAATGGAAGAGTTTCGATAAAAAATATTTTATATCAATAAAAAGTTAAATGTACAGGTTGATTTTATATTGGAAAGAAGCTCAGCTCAGTTAACTTATTTTGTTGTCCTAGTGCTTATGAAAAAATTATTGATATAAACCCTAAATAACATCCATACTAAGAACAACTAAACTAAATTAACCATAACTGCATTCTTCTATAACAAAATCAACCCAAAAATATAAATTAAAGGATAAATTTAAGCTTCGAAGTAAGCAAGCTTACCAATAACCTCTTTGGACCATCAGCCATCCAAATCCGACAAACTGCCTCTATTTCAGAAATAAACCTACATAACAAAAATGATATAACGGTATATTCCGTAAAACAACTACCTTCATAGTTTACACGATAAGCATACCAAGAGCAGAGGAATTGGAATTAGGAGAACACAAACCTTTCCCATGAAGAAGCAATAGTGAAATCATCAAAATGCTCAAGCTGCAATGCAAGGAGACGAAGTAAATTGACATTAGCTCTAATTCTATAATCGCACTCGAACAACAGAAACCGCGGAACGGAAATCTATAGTAAATGAATGCAAAAGATCAGAAAAATGAAGCACTTCTTCTGCGACACAGTCGTCGTCTTCAACAGGTTCAGCGTTGTTGGAGGCGGAGAACGACGCCATGAAAATTCACGAAATGCCTGTCCTTCAAAGACTACCAACTGTTTTTCTCTTTCTTTAATACGTTTTAAAATATTAAATAAGTTTCGTAATAACATTTTAAATTATTTTTATCTCACTAAAATTTAAACACGCCTTTAATTTTTTAAAAGTTAAAATATTTTTTCAGTTCTTGTCAATAACATGGATAAACAGAAAACATATTTTTAGATTCTTTCAAAACTCAAACATTTCTTTTGTATTTTTGTCCATAATAATCCTAAATAAAAAACTTAAGAGAATAACAATCTTAAGTTAATATTATATTATATTAAAATCGTTATTAATATTAAATTTTCACCTATTGTTATTAATAATTTTAAAATTTTCACCTAAAAGTTTTTAAAAATTTAAAGAAATTAAAATATAAATATGTTTAAGTTTTCACATGATGTAACATTTTTTTTTAACTCAAATACAATAAATGTTTTTCCGTTGTTTGCTGTGACTTGTACAGAAGTGTAAATGGAATAAATTACGAGTTTCTACACTATATTTCAACTTTATTCCCTCAAATTTATTAGATAGAGTTTAAATTTTAGTTGTATAACATTAATGCTTAAAATATAATTTCAAATTGATAAAAATTGAAAGTTGTTTGATTTGTTGGAAACAATAATGTTCAATTCTAAGTGAAATATGTTAATGTTAATACTAGTTTAAAAAAGGTATAATTGAGTATTTGTCGAAGAATACTTTAGTTAAAATTAGTGAAAGATTCCCAATGTTGAACTAAAAATATTGATAATGAATAAATAAATAAAATAAAAATTATCATGATTAAAATTGGGTTAAGATGTAATAGTCGAAGTTGGGGGGGGGGGGGATTGTTTTAAAAGGATCTAACCAAAATAGATTAATTGAAATAAAAACATGTAAGTGAAAACTAAGTGGAAGATTTTCAAATCAAATCTAAATCAAAGATGTTTTAATTCAAGTAGAGCTAAAATTGTTGTCTTAGAAACAACTAAATGATTTTTTGAAATTAATGTAACTTTTGAATTTGTAAAAATTAAATCCATGACAAATTAATTAATTGATTTTTTAGGCATACTTAACTTTAGTTATAAACTTACACTAGTTTATCATTTCTACTTGGCACTAACTACTCATATTTTGTCCCTAAATCCTATTAACTAATTAAAGTTCCACCACAAATTATTTAAACCCTTTAATATATTTTATTTACTTTTATCTTTACATTTCTGTTACTGTTTTTACATCTATGTCACCATTTGATTTTTAAATCAACATTTAACTTAATTTTGAAGTAGTTATAAGAGGAATGCTTTGGATGTTATATATATTTTTTATTTTTTATTTTCCTCAAAAATTGAGTAGTTATTTTTATTCTAATGTTATCTTTGATCATGTCTGTTTAAATAAAATATTAACTGATCTTTTAAGGTGGTACGATTAGTGTTAAATGTAAGCATGTTACTCTCTAACGAAACTTTTAAGATGGTACAATTAATATTTAATGTAAAATGTCTGCATTTGACTCTTTGATGAAATTATGTTCGGTAAAATAAAATAATGTTTCTTTAAAGCGTCTACTTGTCCTGACTTTTATAATTAATTTTTTTATTTTCTTTTTCTCTTTATTTTTTAAATATATCAATTTTTTTTTACTGCATACCATATTTTTTTCTCTCTCATTATATTATTTTTTTAAATATATAAATAATAATTATTTTAAATTATGATATTTTTTAAATATATAAATCTTAATAACTATTTTTCTTTAAAATATGATATTTTTATTTTTTTCTGGATGATACCAAAACAATTAAAAAAAATCTCCATTACACAAACAGAAGTTTGGCCTAATGCATGTTAACATTTCACTTTCTAAATAAAATTGTTATAAAAAGATAAACAAAATTACACAAAGATGTGTGAAAATTAAGCCAAACACTGAATAAAAATGATCTCCCTTTAGAATAACTATCCTGTCTTTCATTCATCACTTCTCTTCTCACCATACATCAACATCTCCATAACTTTTGAAGTAACACAAGTATGTAGTTAATACTGGGACCACTAATTCCTGTACAATGCATACACATAATAAGATCAGAGTTTTGCATGCATAATGTCTCAAAACACAACGTTATAGAATGAAAAAATTGATTATTTATGTTTAAAAAGTGGTTCATCATCATCAAATTCCAATGAAAAATTGAGGCACCATTTTCATTTGAAAAACATATAAACCACGCAAGTATGCAGAGTTAAAAGCAAGGGAAAGTCAGAAGAAAGAAGCTATTCAATGCAGCACATGATCTCCATATCAATCCAAAAAACAAAATGCAGATCCTTGAATCAAATATGTTTGATAAAATAACAGAAGCTTGAACTAACCTTCTTTTTGTTGGAAGAATCAATCCTCTTTTTTCTAGGCTTTTATATCGATCCTTTACAAGGGTGCAGCAGCCCTAAAAAACCAACAAAGGTGGGAAATTTTACTTGCATGTTCATTATAAACTGAGATACAAAAACAATCAAAATCAGAGCAACAGAACACAAATCAACCTTGAGCTTCCGAATGGATCCAGTTATTTCTTCACTTAATAAAACTTGAACAGGTGCAGGCTCAAACCTGTTATGAGAAAGGAAGTGATAAACATACATTCATAAAAGTAAGAAAGAAAATCCACAAACTTAACTCTAAATTTTATGTACAAAACTACAAATGGAATAATAATGATTTACTATTATGTTGAATAACGCATAAAAACTCATTCATCCCCTTAATTATGAGAAGGAAAGTAAATTAAGATGATACACAAAAGAGTAATTACTTGTGCTTTCCTATGCGTGGTGGGCGTGTCTTTAACATCTCCTGCTTAGCAACTTGTCGCCTAAGATGTCTTTTCTTCTTTTTCTCGTCTTCTTGCTCAATTTCCTGAATAATGTCAGGTATGCTGTAACCAGAAAAAAAGAATACGCTTAAAAAATCATCGTTTATTGTGGAACAAAGAGTGAGAAAGAGGGTTCATATTACCTATCAATATCCTTTGACAATTCCTTCTTCTTATTAGCTTCTGCTTCTTTCTTCAGTTGTTCTTTCCGCCTAGCTCTCTTATTCAACTCAACTTTTGTCACTCTCTTTGTTTTAATAAGCCTGTCCAATGATTATTCGAACAATACGAACACATCACATGTCTAGAAATTATTGGTTCAGAAAATAAAATGCTGCACACTATTATTAGGTGCAAATACACTATGTAGATATAATACAGTATTCAAAAAGGCAGATTGTGCAAGAACTCGATAACATTTAGACACTGTGTAAAACCAAAAATAGTAGTGCATAATAAGTATAATATATTATGAATCAAAGAAACTTAAAGATATGCATCAGAAAGTCTAAATTCAACTGACCAAAAAGAATGAGTAGATGAGAAATATGTTATTTGACTGGACTGGACCGTTTATGTATATTGCCAAAAAGTAATATGGAGAAAAATAAAATGTAGTTCATAAACAATATTCAAACGAAGTCAGTCTAATTAATTAAAATGTATGATACTAACTTTTTCTCTGATGTAGCATTTTCATTTTCACCCTCATTTTCAAGAGTACTATCTTCATCGTCATTCCCATCATCAACATCAAGAAAATACATCTGAAAAAAAAATGTAGATAGTTGACAGAGCAGAACTAACAGCCGAACACATACAAATTCAATTACCTCTATAAAGCATAATAAATGTGACAAAGATTTCAACTCCAATAATTATATAAATAAAGAGAATAAGACTCACATCTTCTTCAGTAATAGCTTCTCCAGGAACAGTTAATGGCACTGGTTTAGGGCCCAATTCCTTTTTGTAGATTTTTTGCATTTCTTCCGCAACAGCAGAAGCTAATGTATCCTGGTTTAACAGTAAAAAATTTAAAATCTCCCATTAAGATCCATGACATGACCAAAAAAGATCACAAATAACAGGGGAATACGTCATTTATTCTGAAACTACCTGGTGACTTTCATATGAGGGATTGAAAGAGCAGCCTGGAGGATCAACCTCTACTGCTGGAATGAGAGTAGGCTTTGCCACCTGTTAAGAAGGAAGTCATCACATTATCAACTAAAGCACTGTGAGTACAGGAAAGCTAGAATGCGATATGAAATCCACCTATTAAAATCAACACTGCTTGAAGTATACCTTTTTCACGTGCTTGTTATCCTCACCTGCATGATGATATTAAAGAAAACCATGTTAAACATCCCATAATTAACACAAAAAGTGATCAAAACTTTAAATCAATAAACATAGAAGGTACCTTTATCATTCCATAGATCAAACACTGTGGAATCATCCTGAAAAATATATTAGAAACAAGAAATATTAATAAAAAACTCTAAATACAAGAAAAATAAACTCTTCTATTTGTCCACATAGGTTTGCACTTTGCAGCTGAGCATTTCAAACATAGCCAGCCAACTAATACTACTATTGAATCCTTTCTGCATTAATGGGCAACTTACTGACCTTATCACCATCTTGATTGACCACTTTCACATTAGAGACCGTTTTGCGGTTTTTAGAACACTTCTTCAGAATAGAAGATGGCACCGGCTTAACAAACTGGTTTTTCTGTAGCAGGCTATCACAATGGAGCACTTTCTCCCTGTGCTTCTCAATCTTCTTCTTCACCGCAATATCTAGAAGTTTAATCACATTATCAAATTAAACAAACACGAGAGTATCCAAGGATGAACAAGAGTTCAAAGTTATAAACCCATTTATGGTGAAAAAAATTACAGTTTTTTCTATAAAAAACACCCAAGCAAAAGCATTAGAAACATAAATCCTTATTACATTAAGATCGGAAATTTTATGGTTTTTTATTTCTTTTTTAACAAAAAATTACTAAAAATATGTCAAGCGTGTACTTTTTTAGATATCAGGCATCCTCCAAAGGAGAATGGCAATCCTGCTCAAGCCAATACGTGACCACGGGCGGAAAAACTCTATCTACGATGCATACCAAAAATTCAACTAGAGACCGAAATGATAGAACAATCCTCGCCAATTAATCCATATTCAGTGGTGTCGAAGTTCAACTTTAAATTAATTTGTAAAACCTAGTAATTACTTATGTCAAGCTATTTTGAATTTTATTTAGTGAAAGACAGGGCAGAGAAAATTAACTTTTGAGGAAGCAAACACAACACCCACGTAAGAAACATGTTTCATATATCCTGAACATTAACTTCATATGATTCTCAACAGATTCATCAAGAGAACAACTTACAGTAAATGTAACTAATGTTGCTGCAGTAAATTAAAAAATTATCTTATATGACCCAAAAGTCCAAACACCTCACGCTATAGTGTCTACTCTAATGAAGACTCAGCCGCGAATGACTACGTAAATTTCTACAAAAAATTAATAAACAAAATCATACAATAACACAATCTTATGCAAATCATGATAAGAAAACTACTAAATATAATTCTTCATGCATTTTTTGTTTTGTATAATTCGTACGTAACAACTGACCTCAAAACTAAATCCAAAACACGTATTTCAGATACAGGCCAATACTTAGGATAAAAATAAAAGATAACCAGAAAAGAGAAACTGAGCAAGAAATTACCTTTGGACTTGTCTTCATAAAAAAGGGAATCACTGGAAAGGGCTTGGAGAGAGCCACCAGAAAGAGCGTCCTTCGTTGATTTCTCGAAGAAATCTTCGATCTCTTCGGTGCTGATGTTAGCCCTCCACGCCTTCTTACCCTTCCTTGACCCTTTTGCTTTCTTTCCCATTTTTAACCCAGCAACACAATAGCTCCGCTTCACTTCACGATTTTGCTGTTGAATTTTGAAGCCGAGGGTTTTCGGAAAAAATCACGAATTCACGATCCTATCGGTGGCGGCAGAAACAAAACGAGGTTTATGTTGTTAACTTGGTTTGCGTATGCCAACCACGTTAACGGGCTCTAACAGGCCCAAAGATAAGCTCCGCCCAATAAGTTGTTTCTCTCACTTTATTTATCACTCCTTAATAATAATAATCTAATTATAAAAAAGTAGTAAAATAAATAAATATATATATATATAGATAAATAAAATAAATATATATAACATGGTATCTATAGCTTAAGGTTATCTTGATTTTTTTTCGTCTTTTGTCCACTGTTGGAGCCGTCCCACCGTCTGTAGAGCCGTCCCACCGCTGCTGGTAAACTGATCCTCCACATCAGGAAAGAATTATCTTTGTTACTGAATTTTATTTGGTAGTGTGAAAGTGCATGTTTAGGAAAGTTCTGGCAAGGAAAACTTGGTATTTAAGTGTGTCCATTAGTGACCCACCTCTCTTTCCTGGGAACTTACCTGGTGTACTAGTTCACGTTGTTGTCACCACTGCCGTTGGAGCAATCACTGGATTCGCCACTGCCGGAGAATTCGCCGGAGTTTCATTTTTTTTTTACCGGTGACATATGATTTTGCTTGTCTCGGTCAGGTGACCACCGTGCCATTGAGATCACCACTATCGGAGTTGGTCGTCCCATTGTCTCCTGCGTCGTTTAGTCTTAGCGAACTTATTTTTAGTATTTTCATTTTGGATTTGTGCTTCGTGGGTTAATTGGATTACTTTGGTATGATTTAAATACATGTTAGGCTACTCCACATATTGCCAATTGGTTTTATGTTGGAACCTTAACATGGTATCAGAGTCAAAGCCTAATATCTTTCCGATTATTGTGATGGGGAAAAAGTTATCCTTTAATTGGGTGAAAAGATACCTTTGGCTGATCCCGCAGTTGTAACCTTAACAACATAAATGTAGAAAAAAAATGAATTCACTTATATTTTATATATTTAATGGTGATTAATTTTAACCACCAACTATAAGATATGAAATTTTGGAGATGCGTGGCTCTCATCTCCCAAAGGCTTGACGAATACAATCTTTCTTCTCAATATTAAATTATATTATTAAAAAATGAAAAATCCTTTTTCTTTTTCTTTTTCTTTTTCCCAAAAATCAATTACACTTCATTTTTATAAATATTTTTTTATCACGTTTAAACGTAAAACTTACAACTATCTTAATTATAATAATTGTCCATATTATATAATTTATATATAAGAACTTTCCTTATTCATAAAACTGTATCTATATATTGTTATAAATTGATATGGATATTGTTATAAATTGTTATGAACGTGGGTTTAGGATCTAGGGTTTGAAATCATGTAATAATTTATTTAAGTATCTTTAAAAAGATTAAGGACCAGAAGTTAGCGTTCAGATTTTGAAAAAAAAAAAAACACGCATAAGAATACTCAAATCAACTAAACTAAAATATATATTAAAATATTAATTATAAATAGTAAATAAATATAAAAATATTATCTTTAACGAAATTAATCCTTACTTTTCAAACTTATTTAGTAATACATATTTTATAACCATTTATTTAATAAATAAATAATCATCTCGCGGATCTTAAAAATTGGATCTTTCATTGGTAGTTTGTGAAACTTAAAGTCTCTAAACTTGACAAATGAGAGATAAAAAACAAAATTTTGGGGGAACAAAAAAACACCATTTTTTAATAAACTATTTGAGAAAAAAAATTTCCAAAAGAATAAACCTGGTTGAAAATTAAGATTATTTATTAGATTGAAAAAGTAGAGGGGGAAAGTGTTTCATTGTCCAGAAAGTGGACCCTCCGTGAAGAAAAAGAAGAGGAAACAAAAAGGCATGTAATTTGTCACAAAATTGATTGATTCCCCTAATTAACGGCCCAGATAAAGCCCATTATTAACTGATTTATGAAGCATGTGGGCCACTTAGCAGACCAGGTAGCAACAACTTTAGCATCCTATCAAAGCCCATTGGGCCCCACATTGTTCAATCAATATGACCATCTATCATCATTAATTTTGCCACCTTCCCTGTAATCAGTGCATTCACTCTTCCCTTCTTTTTCTCTCTGCTCTTTCAATTGTCTATCACTACCAATCAATCAAAAACCATGCATCTACTCTAAAATAAAATACAAAATACTATTTTATATTATATATTTATTATATTATATATTTATACAATGAAATTCATCACATTAATTACTTTAAATTTTCTGTTTCTGAATATAAATTGTTTAAAATTGGACTACTCAAAATAATTTGATACAGTATAAAACACTACTTCTTCACCTTGAAATTTTGACATTCAGAAAACTTAATACAGACTATAAAATTAATATTTTATTTAAATTATTTTCAGGAGTATTAAATTAGTTTTTTTGTTTTTTACTATCTATGACTTAAAACTTTGACCCAATTATTATTTGATGTGTTTTGCTTTAAAAAAAAAAACAGTGGACCAACATTTGACTTGTCTCACTTAGTTAGATGAAAAAAAAAACGTTATGTATTTCTTAATTTGAACTAAGCCTCTTCATTCAAATCGCTTGGTTATTTGTGGCAAGAAATCATATTATTCTCGTATAAGTCACATTGGTTTTTCATAATCAATAAAAAATAATTTGGTGTAAAATTTAACTTTTATTTATCAAATTATAATCATATGCTATTTTGATTGATTGTATCAAAATTAAGCAACAGTAATAAGCACATAATACAAAAATATTGTTAATTTATGAATTTTGAAACATATATTACGTCAATTATACTAATCAAATATTGAATAATATAAGATTAATTTATATTGCATATGTGACTTATATGATAAGTATTTTATTAATATAAGATATACTCTATATTTTTTTTAATTTTGGTTTGCTATAAAATGTAAATATAATATAATTGGTATATTCATTAAAAATAATTATATAAAGTAAACATTTATATTATGTTTTTTTGTATTTGGGTTGAAGATGAATGGAGGTTAAAATAATAAAAAAAGTAAATTAATAAAAGAATTAATTAATTAATTTTTTATTTAAAAATTAATAAAAATGAGTATAAATTATAGATGAAAATTAATTAAATTTAAAGTAATTAATTATTAAATTTTATAATTATTAAAAATGATTCAAAAATAAATTTCAAATTATTAATTACAAATTATGCATAATGTACTAGTTAAAAAATTAAAATATAATAAAAGAATTAATAAATAAAATAAAATCAGTTAAATTGTTTAAAAAGGTAATTTTGTATTTAAAAATAATTTTTGATTTTATGAGAATAAAAAATTATAAACCACATATAATTTATATGTATTATCAATTTACATATAACAAATATAGTAATAATATTTTTGTAATATAATTGATTCTTCATATTTATATAATTAATTATTTATACTATATAATAAATTATACAAATTTATTTTTTCGATTAATTTTTAAAAAAATTTATTACGCAGATATTTTGTTTATAAAGTTAAAATTAACTATAATGAAAATATAATCAATTGACACATGATTATATACGTATATAAAATAATTAACTCACATATTTTTATATTAAGAATGAAAAAAAAATAATGTAAATAATTAAAATAGCACATAACAATAAAAATCAGGGGTTATGCATTAGAAAAAAATATAAACTTATATGTATGTATGTATATATATATATATATATATATATATATATATATATATATAATAAACATAATAATTATTAAATAAAAAAAGTGTAAGATTATAGTTTATAGATAAAAAATTATAAAATAAGATAATTTAAAAGAATAATAAATAACGTTTTATATATTTTTTGTATAAGAAAAAAATAGAAAATAATTTAATGTGGAATCTTTTTTATGAAATCAAGACAAATATTCAATTACAAACATAAAGTTTTTTCTTCTGCACCAATCAATTTTTTGTAAATAGTGAAATCAATGATGTATACAAAGGCTACGATGGTTTTCCAAGTAATTAGTATTTATTGATATTAGACAATTTCATAATAGCAATCAATGTAAGAAAAAGATGGGAAATTTAAGAAAAAACAATGCAGATTGGAACCTTTTCAATGAATCCATTAATTAATACTATTGAAATCATCACAACAGAGTCATTTGATTTTCTCTCTCTATATATATGTTTACTATTTGAAATTAAAATAGAAAAAATGAAGTATCTTAAAATCATCAAACATAATCCAAACACGAAATTTACCAAACAAATTCCAACCTAGCTCCTCTCAAATCATCCAACATTGTTAGTACGTGAGTCAACATATATAAGACGGTAGTATTAAGATGGAAGTTAAAAATAGAAATGAAGATAGTTGAAAAACATGTGTTGTTTTGTAAGGTAATGTAATGTAATGTAAATCCATGGTACTGAAAGAATGTGTCTTTTGTTTTCCTTTTCTTTTCCTCCTTTGTTTGTTCACTGATTTATTTACCTAAAAAAGTTGTCATGAAAATATCCGGCGGTTACATTGCAAAATGATTACACTCATTTATTACGTCTCATCACTTACTCTTCCCATCTCCACCCACCACCTTCCTCTCTCTACCCAATCCAACACCAATGGCCGCAGCCTTAGAGTGCTGGTCCAGCCGCGCCACCACTGCCGCCGACGATGACACGGTGGAGCAGGTCCTCATGCGCTCCCACCACAGATCCGAAGGTCCTGCTTCCACCCCCAAAGACCCCTCCTCCATGCCCAACGTCCACAAGAAGTTCCAGAAGCTCACCCGCAACGTCTCCGAAGCCATCGCCTCCTTCAGAAACTCCCTCAACCTCGATTCCCCTCCTTCCTCCAAAGCCGATGCCTCTTCCCGGAAACTCGTCTGGGGAAGTGTGGTTCGCAACCTCACGCAGCTCTACCCC